TAACCCTAAAATCGAAATGAAACGAAATCGTATGGTCGATGCTATCTATGCTCAGCTTCATTCCGCAGTGAATAATTCATCATTTAGCGACCATTGAAAATTGCTAGTCATAGTCATAACAATTATCATCATTGGTATTGTTTAAAATCCAGTGGCATCGCTTCGAATAACTCAGATTACAATAACACTCGTTTAGATAAAACAATTAATCGTATTCATAGAAGATTAGTGACGGCTCGTGAGCAGAAGCAAGTTTGCGATTCAAAAACTTCAAAAGATAACGTAATCAATGCATGATCTAGTTGACTAAATCAATGTTGAACCAAAACATCGTCGCTCAACAATGATGAATAATTTTTCCTTCATTCAAATTGTCATCGAAACAATCGATGTTTTTGCTTCAATAAATGATAACATATATTTGAAATGCCGTCTGCCATTACGAGTGAATGTGTTAAGCTAGAACGGAGCGGATTTATATGCGATCGTATTCATTGTGGGAACGTTAGCGTGATTTCTCGCAGATTTGCAACGTGATTGAATGCTAGAAACAACTATAGTGCAATGAACAATATGTTGACTCAAATGACTTAACAAATTTTTCATTCCGTAAGAAGTTTTTCCTCTAAACCACGTTCGAATCCTAGCTCAACCCTGAATCCGAGTCTAAAACTAATATTTTCATTCAGTAATCAAAGACTTTGGGAAAAGAGGAAAATTTGAATAGGCAAACGTTAAAGTTTTCAAGTAAATCTTCTGCAACACAACCAGGCGACGAGAACTTCAACTGTTCAGAAGGGGAAGTTCAAATGATAAAAAATGCCGATCCATTGATATTGATACCACCAGCACAACAATGGAAATGGGTTGAAAGTAAGCAAATGCGACACGGCAATAAAACGGCTATAAATTTTCCAATTAAAGTGCAAAAAAGTGCCTATATTGCCCTTCGTTCAGGACTCCTGTTGATGGTGCATTTGGACGATACAGAGTTTTCGAGCGAACGCCCATCACTTTCTTACATTTAAAGTAA